CGCATTGTCGGCCCATGTTCATCTTGGAGTCAATAATGGCTCCAAGATCCCTTTCTGCCTCCGTGCTCTCGAGTAAGGAGTTCCCCATTGTATAAGTGTGCTGCTGGTTCCTACTATATTGATGTTCTGTTTTTAACTCTATAGGAATAGTAAAGCCACTAGAATATGTAAGGTGATTTAACTAATGTACCCCTAAATTAGTGATTCTCAGCCAGACACTTCCTCTGCCTGATTGAAGGGTAATTGTACCCAAAAGCTTGCAAAGATTTTTTTCCAACTATTTGAATTGGTCTCATAAAAGATATTGGATTTACCCAAAGAGCCTTGATTCTCAACCAGGGTTTTGTGGTGTCCCACAATGCCTTCATATCCTTTCAAGGATGATGTGGTGGGGCCATGCAACGTTAGCACTGTTAGATGTGACATGATTCACAAGGTAAACCCAGAGTTTCCAAATAGTCATCTATAGAAGTAAAAATGCTGACCTGTTGTGCTCTGCCTGAATTCTTTGCAATCAAAGAATTGCTCGTTGGCTTTTTTGCACCCAAAAAGGAGTAAAAACTCAAATCTGGCATTTTCTGAGGACAGCCTTGACTCAAAGGTTGAGAACTGCTGTTACAGTTTACTTGATTCTCTAATTTTTAGTTTTTACTTGTGTTTGATATAAAGTTAAGGTGTTAGTTTCAAGTGCTTGTAATCTGGAAAGCTACCAAAATCATGGTTGATCTGACTCTTAAAACCTGTCTGGCTATTGTCCATATCCAGTGTTCTTCCTTGTCTTTTAATGTTTAAGAACATTAATAGTTTTAGCATGTGTACCTATGCTCCCAAAATCCTGTCTGGGTAGTCCCTATTCTTATCAGCTGTATTATCTGTATACAGGTTTCCCTTGCTTTATGCTGTACGTCTTCCTGGAAAATGGTGCATAGCTTGCTTTTTTTTTTTTTAAAAGGGAGCCCACTTTACAATGTAACAAATAGGGATATGTTCCAAGACCTCGACTGTACTGACCCCCAGACCCATTTCTGTCATTTCTACACGACAGTTTTGGTACTCGCCAACAGCAGACAAAAGTACGCACAAGCACTGGGAGAGGGGTTGGGGAGAAGCTTGCGGGACACTATAATGGGGATGGCAACTACACTCGTGTGTCCCAGACAACAAGCAAGGAGCACAGATCCACACAGGAGACTATTTTGGTGCGTGTCACTCCCACAATGCACCACACAAAGCAGCTAACTGCGGGCTTCCACCACACCAATCTCACAAGAGTGAATTTACCTCACATGTAACATCTTTGGTATAAAAAGGGTCGTTGCATAAGAGCGAATTCACATATACAGAACCTGCATAAAGTGAGGGAAACTTGTATTACTCAGCTGGTCCATCTAAGGAAAATGGGTGTTTACCCATCTGTTGTTTTTTTTTTAAAAGCGGCTACATCTGAGTGATGAGTGGAGTCTTCCTCAGTTGTTTTCCTGCAAAGAAGGATCTCAAAGAATCCCATCAGTAATGAGTGATGAACAAAGTGTGATCTTGTAATCTAATAGTACAGATGTTAGTAATTGAAAAGCTGTAAGAGAGTTTGTGACTTCAAGATAGCATTACAAGTGTTACAAGCTTAATTCTGTACTGGACACTTAGTTCAAATCTAGCAACCAAATGTATACAAGTACCTACTCGAAGTCATGGCATCCTGGAGCCCTTGACTGAGAGATGCTCAGTAGAGCAGCGTTCCTCATCCAGGATCCTGCGAGACCTTTTCAAGGGGCCACGGTGCCAGCACTTCCTGCATAGGGCAGTTTTGCCTAGCTGCAGTTAAAGTCCTTAGTTTTCAGGAAAACTTAGCAAGTTAAAAAAAAAAGCAAACAAAAAACCTGCCCAAAAAACAAGGCATATACAGAAGTGGGCCTGGATTGGGAAGCAGGTGCAGCAGGAGGCAGTATTGTTGTTGGTATTGGGTTTGTCTGCACCCCCTCTTCTTGCACCGGCTTCCTGGTCTAGCCCTGCACGTGCTTCCTGGAAACATGTGCGTGGAGCAGTTTCAGCTGGCCTCAGTGTTGGTGCTGGTGCTAGTGCTATGGCACCCTTGAAAGGATGACATGCTCCTGCCTGCCTTAGGTTTATCAGGTGCACCTAATACAGACAGGAGTGCTCCTTCCAGCCCTAGCATCTTCCTAGTCCAGCCCTACATGTGCTTCCTGGAAAATGAGGTACTGCTAAATTCAGGAAAGTTATGGAGAGGTGACATAAGTTTAAAAAGGCTGAGAATCATCGCTAGAGAGACAATCACTGTAGTCCAAAAGTGTCTTTGTAATTCTTGTAGATATATTTGAGGAGAGCTTTTTAAATCGGGTATCAAAGATAGCAGCACAGGCTTCAGTAACTAAGTATTTACATAGTATCCCAGGCAGGCTTGTGCTGTCTTCATTGCATGAGGCTACTGGTTGTACCCCTGCTACCTTGGTTTTGTCTATAGCACCTTTTCACTTGCTGCAGAGATGCAACCATAGTGACATGGGCTCCAGCACAGTCTTTAGATGTCTACCTACAGTCTTGGGTAGGTAAGTGGCTAATTTGTGCTGAAGTCCACACTGCTGCAATTTGTTCACTATTGTCACTTGACCTAATTTAGTAACCAGTGCTGTAGCTGTCCCTCTGGTTGCAATAGAAATGTGCCCTGTGCTCAGCTAGCCGCACAAAATGATAGAGTTATGTCAACTGTTAAGGAACTACTAGTGTGTAATGTTCCCAATCACCTATTGAAAGAATGTTCTGATAAGCTTAACCACTTGAATTTCTGACCACTGTGCTATAAAGTAGTAAAATGATCTTTATTTTAAAGTACAGGATTTGGAATTGGGATTTCTGGGTTTTCTGCTCTGTCGCTGACTTGCTTATGTGCCTTTAGACAGCTCATATAGCCTGTCTGTGCCTTCTCATAGGTTGGTAGAAATTTGGAGGGTAAGGAGAAAGCATGGGTAGTGTGTTTTAGAGATGTGCTGCATTTAACACCCCATCCCCTTTTTTCCCCACCCCCATTCCCAACCTGTCATTGCATCAGACTGACTGGTGATTGAACTCCATGAATACGAGGTTTTAGGATTTGAACTCCCCAATCCCCTGTCTACCATGGACCAGGATTATGAGAGACGTCTCCTGCGCCAAATCAACATACAGAATGAAAATACGATGCCTTGTGTAAGTATGCAGACTCAGGTTTCCCTGACCTGGAATATTCTTTTACTGTCCCTCCTTTCAGATTTTACAATTTGAGCCGTTTATTAAAGAAGGCGCGTGGGAGGGGGAGATCAGACTACTAAACCTTCACTGAGTTTCTGAATTGTTCTGGAAAACAGCTGCTGCAAACAACTGGTTAACATAGCTGACTTGTCATTTAAAATCAGTTTAATTTCTATATTATATATGTAATACTTGGAAGTCTAATTGGGGTCATAGCATCTTTACTCGGTACTTGACATAATAAAAATGGCATTGAGGAGCTACATAATCACACTGGGTACTCCTGGAATGTAAATAGTTTGGGGTTGTTAATCAAGCTTTAGAGAAGGAGAGAATAGTACCATGGGAAAATATCATGAGAGGGCAGGATCTCCAGGTTGCATGTTCTCCCCATGTTTCAGCCATATCTGATCCTTGAAGATTTAAACTATAATTCCACTTTAGAACACGTATAATAGAACCAACACCACACTGGCTTCATGCGTCTCTATTGGCTCCAGAACTTCTCGGTGATATTGCAGAGCCCTTTATCTTTTGCTTCCTCCCTGGTCACCAACTGCAACATCATTCACTGATGCATATAAATGACCCTTTTAAGTTTTTAAAAAGTCCCATGGGATTTGGGGGTGGGGGGAGGGGAGATTTAAGCTGTTTCAGTACATATCTATTACTAACCATATAGATATTGCACACATTACTAATTGTTAAAGCCTGGACTTTAAAGACAAACTCTCTTCTGCAGTGATCCCATATGGTATAGTTCAGTGGTGACTAACCCTTTTGGTAGCCATGCCACAAGTTTAAACCCCCTCTGCTCTGATCCCTGCCCTCTTCTTCCTCCTCCCCCATGTCCTGGGGG